TTTTTTTCCCCCCCCCCCCCCCCCCAGATCTTGATGCTTGACTTGCATGGTTTCAACTACGCACGTAGTTACAGGAATACTGACACCGGGTTGGTCGAAATTAGTATGTTTCGTCATGAGGCTGGATAAAGTTTTTTTATGCCGTATGTTAAATGATATTTTTTGTCATAACGGGCATAGGCAGCAATTTACGAACGGGTAGCTATTATTCAAATTTTTTTATGTATCAGACATTCAGAGATATTCATTGAAAAATTGTCTCCAAATTTAGTAGCCAATTAGTTTTGGTACAACATCTAAGAATTGAAGTAAAATATCGATTTCTTGGTAAGAACCTTTCTTGTAGGGAAAAATGACATCTACAACAAGCAGACGACGGCAGATGTGTTATTAAGTGGTATGTGAATTAATCTCTTTTTTGCCAGCAATAAATTGATGGGAAGCTTCCGAATGATTTGGGCATGATATTTTTTTAGTAGAAACCTGTATCAAATTTCGAGTAGATATCTTGTTTTTTTTTAAGACTTGCTGGAGCTCGTACAGGCATTTTGAACGAATGCAATGCTTCCATTCTAAAGCAAAAAACAAACGTAAATTGAAAATAAATCTTTAATTATAATATACTTACTAAATGAATTACAAAAATTTCAGTTTTCTCCTTTCATCTCAACTTGGAGAATTGCTCAAAACTTTCTTATACTCATTTGCTCCTTACATTTTCTAATTTTGCATGGAAATGAAATGGCAAAATACAACAGCGAAGTGCCATAAGTTAATGCGATGTGGTAAAACTATAAATCAATTCAAATCATAAAACATCTACACAATATTGAGCCAAATTTTTTGCTATTTGGCTATTCGAAGGTTATTAAGAATGTTTTAATAAAAGAATTCGGAAAATCTTCATGCAAGTTCCCTTTGGCAACATGATTAAAAAAATATGATTCATATAATACTTACCTTGAAACTGTTTGAGTAGTTTTTGAGGTATTCAAGAAAATCACTTTAGATACAAAGTTGAATATTCCCCAAGCTAACAATCCGATCCAGCCCATCTTCAGTAAGAAACATTGTAGTTATAAGAGGAAACTATATGCCAAATTTCAAGTTGATATTTTGATTTTTTTTAATGAGAGCATTTTGAGCGATAAATAAAAAAATTGAAATATCTCCGAAACTAATCAACTGATTCAGCCTACCTTCAATTCGAAACATTGTTGTTACAAGAGGAAACTTCATGACAAATTTCAAGTTGATATTTAGATTTTTTTTAAACTGAGAGCGCGTGCAAGGATATTCAGCGAAAAACCGAACAATTGAAATATCTCGAAAACTTTGTATAACGGGGTATATATATTTTGACTGATTGGTATAATAGACATCGAGACGAATATTTTGAAAAAAAATTGAAATCGGTTGCAAAGTTGTCGAGATATTTGGGAAAAACCATTTAAAAACAAATATCGATTTCTCAAAAACGGCTGGATCGATTGAGCTGAACTTGAACATAAAGTTAGTCCCTATTAATGCCTATCATCTCACAAAATTTCAGATTTTTTGAAATTATTTTAGTTCTTTATTCCTTCGATTGCCTAAAAGTTGACCATCAAGTGGACCAAGTTGACCACCCGCACATACAGACACAGTGCTCAAACTTTGTTTTGTTACGTTTCAGATCATTCCACATCATTTCCAAGCCAAAATAGAGAGTCGAAAACGTAAACGATTTCAATGCTTCCATTCGGAAGCAAAAAAGGTTATTGCAAAAATCCCTCCTTTGCATTCCGAGATATAGTCCAAAAACTAGTTTTCGGATTTGAGTAACACATCTTGTTTCATGTCTTTACCTTTGAATTAAGTTCTGTGCTGGGTTATGATATTCAGGAGATTCAATTTCTACAGATCAGTGTTCAATAAATCATGAAAATGAAAGTCGTTTTATCGAATTTTATTCATTTTTCGAAATGGGTACATTGTTGGTGTTTCATCATAGATTACAAGAGACTTGTTATTGACCCAATTGAATTCGATGTTCTTCCTCTTTCATTGTTCACAATTCGTTGACATTCCTCGTTACAAACTCTATTATCTTTTGTGCCTCAATTTCATATCTTGAACGATTTCAGCAGCACTGTAGACTTTACATCTCACAATCTCCAAATCTACACGAGCAATTGCTTCCAGCAATGAGTAGAATAGAACTGAAAAACAATTCACTCTTCAATATCTTCGCCAAAATTAGTACATTAGAGTACAAGGGCACAAATTTCGTTTTCAACGAATGTGCAGTTTACAGGCCGAGCCGAAGGCGAGGTCTGTACACACATTCGTTGAAAATGAAATTTATTACCGAGTCCCAGATAACACACGAACTGGTACGATACTAGTATAATGTTCGTATAGCGTACTATGCGTACCAGTACCGTACCAGCCATCTACCTGCGTATTCTGCAAGTATTATAGCAGTATGGCGTACGAGTACGACATACTAGTAAAATAGCGGTACGGTACGAGTATTTTTGAAGGCATCATACTCCGCGCCCACTGTACGACGTACTGGTATGTTACTAGTACGTTAACAGTATTGCATACGAAGCGTTATGGTATGGCCATACGGTAAGGTACGCTTATATTACCAGTATTATACCAGTACGGCATACCAGTACCATATACGGGTACGATACTAGTATGATACTCGGTAGATATTAGTTTAATACCAGTATACTGACCGTTCTACATACCAGGTCCAGCTCCCCCCTCCTGCCCCGCCCCGCTCTGCTCGTAAATAGATGATTGTAAATAAAATTTTTATTCAATAATAATGAGCACAAATGATTCTTTTATTAATTCTTTTATTAATTCTAATTATAATTAATTTAATTCAAAAGCAAGGTGGACAGCCTTGAATAATTTCTACCGTCTAATCAGTGGAAATTTTATGAAAAATGCTGATAGAGTTGAGACGAATCCCTTTCCGGAATTCTGATAGATGGGAAGAACGTTTCTTCAGCAGGTCACTGGGATACTTGGGGTGTGCTTTTAGATTTTCTAGGAACTCAGAAATAGTCTGAAAAATACAGAAAAAAAAATTGATCGGAAAGAATATTTATTTGGCTACGGGGAGGTTACTATTAGTTTAAAAAATCGCGGTATATCACAGTGAGGTTTATCATACAGGAAAAATCGATTATATGTGTCGAAAAGCAAAGAACAGTACACTGAGAGAAAAAATTACCTCTGCCGAAAAAATATTTATTCCGCTCAAAAATATCGAGGTAACTTCGTCTAATAATATAAGATACGTGGAGTCAACGCATAGTTCAATGTAAATAGATAAATAATTTGTCGCCTCAAAATCTGTTTTTTTTTCACGTACACCAGTCAAGCGGAAAAGAAGTGCACTATTCTGCTGATTATAAAAAAGCTTCGTGTAAAAGGTTTTGAAATTTTCTGTGGATCAGAAGTTTGATCTTCTCAAACTTATCCATTTATGACCTCCAGAACTGGACTTTGATTTCTCGCTCAATAACTATCAATGGCGGGGACACAAATGAGTAATATTGGAAATAATAGGGAAAGTCGCAGTAGAGATTATACAGTGGTATTTTTGCTGAAAAAATGGTTCTTCTGTCAGCTCAAACTTCTGCTTCGGGGAAAATTTTTTGGTTCGCAGTCAAACAGATTATTATTTATCATGATATTTGAATCCTGGCATTCTACT